AAAAAAAAAAAAAAAAAAAAAAAGATTGAAAAGTGCTCCCCTAACCTTAAAATTCTGGATTAACTCTGTGTTCTCCCTCTCCTCGTCCTTTTTCTGGTTACCAGGCCCTGATCTTTCCAGTAAAGGGTGTCTCAAAATGTCGCTCCCTTTCTGAGCTCACTGCCAACCACTAACTGAAGTCACTCTTGCTCACACCTGCATTATTCTAGTGCTCTAACCATCTCTTTGCCTCTCCCTGCCTTCCATTTCCCCCACAAAGTGACATCACATTAATTTTCCTAAAATGACATGTTCAGAAACTTTCAATCACTGTTAAGAATAATTCTCAGAGTTTACTCTACAGAAGAACCGCGCGGGGAGCCTGTGAAACGTGTAGATGACTAGCACCGCCCACTGCACTCTCCCCCAACAGGGGTGGGACACAAACACTCACATTTTCACGAGGCAAAGTACTGAGCCCCCAAGACACAATTATTCTTGAACGCAAATCCAACTCTCCAGCTGGTTCTATGGCCTTGGATAAACCGGTCTCCCTAGGTCTGGACGAAATGAGAACGCAGGCCCTTTCCCATCTGTTGTGGATGCTCCGGATGCTCCGGGGCCCTGCGGCGCTCACTCATCCACACAGCATGTGCACAATCGCTCTGGGCCCTGTGGCGCACATTCATCCACACAAGCACGCGCACACCTGCTCCAGGGCCTTGAAGCACACACCCGCTCACCACAGCACGTGCACACCCATCCCGGGGCCCTTCAGTGTACATTCATCCACAAGACACACACACTCACTCCGGGGCTCTGTGGTGCACACTCATCCACATAGCACGCGCACACCAGCTCCAGGGCCCCGCAGCGCACAGTCGTCCACACAGCACGCGCACACTTGCCCACCATACCACACACACACCCGCTCCAGGGCCCTGCGGCGCACACTGGTCCACACAGCACGCGCACACTCGCTCCGGGCCCTGTGGCGCACATTCGTCCACACAGCACGCGCACACCTGCCTCGGGGACCCCTCCTTGGTACCTGCGTCCCCAGCAGTCCACCTTCTGACTCCTGACCCCCGACTCGGTTCTCCAGGCTACGAATCCCTGCTGTCCCTCCTTCTGGGCCTGGTTTCTCCAGTGGGTCTCAGGAACTCCTGTCCCCGCGAACTTTCCTCACAACCCCCACCAGGAGCGCCCCCGCTCACAGCAGGTTCAGCTCCTAGCTCTCCCTCAGTCTGCTATTCTTGGCCCAACATTCAGACCCAACCTAACTTTCGAATCTAACATAAACTGAGCGCTTTCCTCACATTCACATCACCCCCCCACCCGACCCAGCTCTCCGGCTCCTCAAATCCAGCGCGGCCCAGCTCATCACGTCCTCCTTTCCCGCAACACGCCTAGACTTCCACTGCAAAGGCTGGTCTCCGCTTCCCCTGAATCTCTGGGGCGTGAGTATTTCACAAGCATCGTTTACCGATAAATCCTCCTTGCCTTCTATTTTGCTACCTGGTTGGCTAGAATGATTAGCAAAGTTGAGGGACTACCTCTAGAATTAGCAGTCATTTTTCTATGTAAAGAATCATCTCTTCCAATAAACTGTAAGCAAAGGAAAATTAACAATACCTCATTTTTAGTTTTACCCATCTCCTCTGCGTAAAATAGGTAATTGACAAATATTTACAGGGTCTAAGGTCTCCAGGGAAGAGTCCTATCATCCCTTCTCTGTCACTCTGTGAGCATTACCATCCATGAGGCACAGCCTTCACGGATATACTAAAGTTTCCTTTGCCTTGACGCCCACCATTAACTGGTAAATTCTGTGACTCGGTCACTCATAAAACAATCTAATATAGCTGTCCAACCAATTTCCTTCTAGAATAAAACCATATAAAAGTACTCTTCAATGAAATGTCTCATACTTAACTTGAATTTAATCCTTTTGAAACAAGGATTCAATTCAGTTATACAATACAGTTATAAAAAATACACTTCATCTGTAATAATTCATTTTTTCATTAATTCTTTTATTCACTCGAAGACTACTTATTAAGCATCTACGTATCAGCCACTATACATAATCAATTCTAAAAATACGCTGATTTATAGGTATTAACCATATTACACATATATAGTCAACACAATTAATTTTTTAGTTGATTATCCAATTTGAGTTGATTTATCAAATCCTTTCACTATTTTTAAGTCTAGATGACTATCAATTTTACTTTTAGTACCTCCTTCACACAGTGGGTAAATGAAGCAAAAGCTGCTGGAATCCTGTTCAATTGTATACTAAACACTTAAAACATATAGTTCTATATACTTTAACCTCTCTGAAAGAACTATTCTAGGGACGCCTGGATGGCTCAGTCAGTTAACTGTCTGGCTTTGGCTCAGGTCACGATCTCATGGTTTTGCTCATAAGTTCGAATCCCGCATCAGGGTCCCTGCTCTCAGCACAGAGCCCGCTCGGATCCTCTGTTCCCTTCTTTCTCTCTGCTCCCTACCCTCACTCTGTCACTCTCTCAAAAATAAATAAAACATTAAAAAAAAAAAAGAAAGAACTATATAAACTAAAACATTCATTAAGAAGGTCACCCTTTCTGGGGCGCCTGGGTGGCTCAGTTAAGCATCCGACTTCAGCTCAGGTCATGATCTCACAGTCTGTGAGTTCGAGCCCTGTGTCGGGCTCTGTGCTGACAGTTCAGAGCCTGGAGCCTGCTTCAGGTTCTGTGTCTCCCTCTCTCTCTGCCCCTCCCCTACTCATGCTCTGTCTCTATCTCAAAAATAAATAAAAACATTAAAAAAAATTTTTTAAAAAGAAGGTCACCCTTTCTTAGAATTGTGGAACAGAAAAACCCATAAATTGAAGCAAAACCTCCAAGTGGCAACTTATGACAATTTCTTGCCATGTAATCTTGAGAGAGAAGAACATCGCAGGTAGCTAACAATTATATATTAGAAATTACTATTTATAAATGATATTGCACATTTAGAGTTTTGAAAATAAAGAAATGGCCTCATAACAGACTTAGGTTGAATTGAGGGATGAAACTATGTATAAAGAATGTTGTTAGGGGCGTCTCGGCGGCACAGTCAGTTAAGCGTCCAACTCATGATTTCAGCTCAGTTCATGATCTCACGTTTTGTGAGTTCAAGCCCCTCACCGGGCTCTGTACTGACAGTGCGGAGCCCGCCTGGGATTCTCTCTCTCTGTCTCTCTCTCTCTCTCTCTGCCCCTACCCTGCTTGCTCACTCTTTCTCAAGTAAATATACTTAAAAGAATTTTTTTTAATAAAGAATGTTATTAATTATTAAAAATGACTATCCATGGAAACGATGTTCTTTGCAACTATTTTGGAACGTTAGTCATCCGTAGTGATGGTTTCTTCTGGACCTAGAGACAGGTGTTCCTTTGATTCAAAACTCCTTTTGTTCCTCCTGGTTTCTACCTGCAAACAGAGGCTAACAGTAGTATGCTGCTCCTCACCTTGATGAGGCAAATGGCAGATGGAGTTTCTTCATATTCTTTTCCATGTTTGCCATCAACTGCATCTTCACAAAGTCCCTTTACATAGAGCAGACAGCCTTGAAATAACTCATCAGCCCCAAAAAGATGGCGGCACAAAAATGACCTGAAAGGTAAAAACTTTCCAGACTTATCTGGCTCCTGTTCAAAATGAATACAGCTCACTTAGAGGGAACCGTGTAATTTGTTTTGTATCCATATGTATTATATCTATTTTAAATGACATTAATAAACATAAGCATAATGGGGTTTGTTTGGCTGATAATGTTGAAAGCAAGGTTCTGGTATTGGGTGTGCTGAGTAAAAAAATACGAGGGCAAACAAGTGATGATATAATTTTACGCCACTGAGTTCTAACAACTTTGAAACAGTAGGCAGCGATGTACAACATAAGTTATACTTCCCCTGTTAAATTTAAATACTTTTCCTCAATTTATGTTTTCCCCAATTACAGGAAGAAAAATTAGCTAGACTTGGGAACCGTTTGGAGAATGTTTCTTAAGTTCTCCAACCACCTGTGTCCCAGAAGAGAAAAGATGGGCCTTGCTCTTTCCTCTGCCCCTTTCTGCCGGTCCGGTCGTGGTCGCAAAGGTGAGTATTCTCACTTCTAACAACACAAGACAGAACTGAAGGAGAAAAGAGCAAAGTGAAAGAGACCAGGCTCCTGAAAAACTGGATCAAGAAAAGCGAACCTCCCTGTGCAACAGTGTATCAAAGAAGGGGGCGGGGGGGGGGGGGGGGGGGGGGGGGGGGCTTCTGCCCTTCACCGATCCCTTGTGGGGTGGCTAACTTTTATAGCTGATTTTGGTATATTTTATATAAAAAGACAATCATCAGAAATTAGCCTTTTCCTGTCTTTCCATTTTATTGGCGAAAGCTTTATGCACCATGAAGAAGCTCCCTGGGCCCTTTATTCTCACTGCCCTCCCCCTCCCCAAGGCCTTGTGGTCTTTGTCATAAAGGCCTCCTCAAATGACACAGGCCCCGCATAACCTGGAGCTACTCACAGAGGTGGAATTTGTTCATGGACACTCCCCTGGGTATCTAGTACAGGGAAGAAAAGAAATCATACTAAAGACAGATGGCACATTCCAGAAGGTGAACCGCCACAAAAAAAATCAAACCCCGTCTTGGGATTTATTCACAAGAGAATGATGATGAAGATTCACATAGTAACGAATCCACATTACCCAGCATTGTTTAAAGCTTCCTTCTTTCCTTTAAAAAAATATAATTGACTTTATGTGTGTATTTTAACACAGATATGAGGAAACTAGGGAGGGTTCACTGTGAAAACAATTATAGGTGGGGAAAGCATGAAAACATTTAGAACTGTGATGGTGAGATCTGACAAGAGAAAAATAATGCATCATCTGATGACTATTCAGGCAAAGGTGTTACCAGGAACTCGCCAACAAATTTCCACCGTATTGTACTAGAGAGCTAAATACATTCTCGCAAACTTGACTCACAAGATTGAACTGCTTGGCATTAGAACATATATCACAGAAATCTCTTAAAACTCAGGTCCTGGCTCCTATAAAAATGGGGTAAGTGTACTTTTCACTACTCTTCCCTCTAGGTACAACTAAAAACTCTGAACGTTACATGTGAAGTGAACATGAGAAGACACCGAGAGGTAGAGAAGACAGACCGGCCAGGAGTGACAGGGTCATCAGGTGCGTCTTCTTCTGCCTTCTACAGCCCAGGCTTGGAAATGCCAACAGGTGCGGACAGAAACGCCTGCTGTCTGGCTCGAGGGCCAGAAAGGGGCAGCCGAGCAAGACAGAAAACTTTTCAACAACCACCATTCTATCCCAGCGAGATACCACAGGGGGGGAAGGCCACGTGGAGAGCCTGGCATCGTGCGCCGGGCAACTGGTAGTGAGCTTCCCTAGCGGTCCTCTGGGGGTTTTCAGGGAAAGCTGAGCAGGGAATAGGGAAGGTCATCCTCCCTGGGTGGTGGTGAGCAGAGAAACAGAAGACATATCATTTTATAAGTTAAAAAATATAATGACTGGGGCGCCTGGGTGGCGCAGTCGGTTAAGCGTCCGACTTCAGCCAGGTCACGATCTCGCGGTCCGTGAGTTCGAGCCCCGCGTCAGGCTCTGGGCTGATGGCTCAGAGCCTGGAGCCTGTTTCCCATTCTGTGTCTCCCTCTCTCTCTGCCCCTCCCCCGTTCATGCTCTGTCTCTCTCTGTCCCAAAAAAATAAATAAACGTTGAAAAAAAAATTAAAAAAAAAAATATATAATGACTGAAATGGAAAACTCAGTATGTTGGCTCAACAGCAGAACGGAGTGGACAGAGAAATCAGTGAACCGAAAGAAGAACAACAGAAAGCATTCAATCTGAACAACAGAGTAAAGACTGACTGAAAAAAATAAGCGGACCCTCAGGGACCAGCAGGACCATAAAAAAGATCTAGCATTTGCCTCCCCAGTCCTAGAAGCAGAGGAAGGAGAGGGCAGGACTAAAAACACTTGAAGAAATATGGACGAAAATGCAACAAGTTTGTCAATGGATGCACGAACCAGAGGTTTAGAAGCCAGGTGACTACAACAGGATAAAGACAGAAGTCCAACCACCACACATCAAAGTCAAAACTTCCGAAAACTACAGCCAAAAGAAAAAGTGTCAAAAGCAGCAAGAGAAAAAACCGTCTACAGAAGAAAAGCAATTCGAATGACCACGGAGGCCAGGAGATGGGCTCAGAGGAAAGAACTGTCCACTCAGAATCCCATATTCAGCAGAATCTTCTTCGATGACAGAGAAACAAAGAAGACGCTTTCGGACATGGGAGAAGCAGGAGACTTTGCTGCCCGCAGACCTGCCCTAACAGAATGGCTAATGTAAGTTCTCGCAACAGAAATACACAACAAAACAGCCCAAGGAGCCCTGCGACATTGAGAAGGAAGCAAGAGCATGATAAACAAACCAAACTGAATACATTTTAAAAACACACAGACTGTCGTTCTCGTTCTCGAGTTTTACAATGTATATTTGATGGTGGAAGCAAAAAACTGTAACAGTGCCGAACACAAGCGGAGGAAACATCTAAGACCGTCGTACTGTAAATGGGGGAGGGCAGAGGGACACAGAGGTAAGGTTTCTACAGTTCACTCAAACTAATAAAATGCAACGCTAGTAAATGGCACGCTACGTATGTATGATGTTACGCCAACAGCAACCACCAAACAGCTACACAGAAATACGTTAAACAATAGTATAGAAAAATCCAAATAGAATTCTGAGAAATACTGCTTTAGTTGAATATTCAAATAATCCACAGAAAGAAGAAACAGACAAAAAGCAGAGGGAAGAAACAGAAACCAGAAAATAAAATGGCAAACTTAAGCCCTAACAAATAAATAATCAGACTGCACGTCAAGGGTCTAAACACAGCAAGTAAAGACCGAGATTGGCAGACGGATCTGAAAACGTGATCAAACCATATGCTGCCTCCTAGAAACGAATGGCCATCGACAACCCCCCTTCCTCCCAACCCCTCACCCACGCCCCTCCCTCCAACCACCCCTGTAGCAAAGGGTGTCCCTTGAACAGAGGAGGAGTTCAGCTCTCCTCATCAAAGCCACCCAGGCCAACGAAGCAGTGAGGCTAGAGAGTTACGTTAACCCGTTCACAAAGCAGGCTAACTCTAGCCTCATGCCTGGCACGTAGAGATGCTAAATAAATATTCTTGAATTAAAAAAAAAAAAAAAGACAAGCCAAATCTGGGAGAAAATGTTTATAAACCAGGCACAAGGGACTCGTGTCGAGACTATAAAAAGAACCCTTAAAAACTCAACAGTATATTGGGGCGCCTGGGTGGCGCAGTCGGTTAAGCGTCCGACTTCAGCCAGGTCACGATCTCGCGGTCAGTGAGTTCAAGCCCCGCGTCAGGCTCTGGGCTGATGGCTCAGAGCCTGGAGCCTGTTTCCGATTCTGTGTCTCCCTCTCTCTCTGCCCCTCCCCCGTTCATGCTCTGTCTCTCTCTGCCCCAAAAATAAACGTTGAAAAAAAAAAAAAAAAAAAAACTCAACAGTATAAAGATAAACAATCCCACCAGAGACATGGAGAGACATCTCACCAGAGAGACATGGAGAGACATCGCACCAAAGAAGATTCCCAGATGGCCCATAAGCACACGGAAAGATGCCCAACATCATCAGGGAGACGCAAACTGAAACCACAACACGATACTGCCAGAAAACTGCCGGAATACCTAAAACAAAAGAACAGTGACAATTCCAAATGGCGGCAGGGAGGTGGAGAAGCTAAATCACTCCTACGTTGCTGTCGGGGATGGAAAAAACAGAACAAAACTAAACGTGCAATCGCCATATGACCCAGGAGTGCACTCCGGGGCATTCACCCCAGACAAATGAAAACCTGTGTTCCCATAAAAACCCACATATGACGGTTTAGAGGGCTTTACCTACAGTCAACAAGCGCTGGAGAACAGCGCGTGTACTTCCCAGTCTCAGCACGCGCCGCTCCCCAGCCATCGAGGAACGCCGGATAAACGCGGCAGCCTGGATGGAAGTCCAGAGTTGCGCTCAGGGAAGAGCCAACCCCGACCCAAAGGTCGTATACTGCATGACGGCACTTATACAACGTTCTCGAAAAGACAAAATCACAGAAATGGGGGCCCGCGTCGTGCTTGCCACGGGCTAAGAAGAGGGTGGGACTGGGAGGGAAGCGAGTATGGCTGTACAAGGGCAACACGAGGGACCCTGCGGTGGCCAATCTTCTGTATCTTGATGACGTCAGTGCCACTGTCCTGGCTGCCATATTGTACAGTGAGTTTGGGGGTTCTACCTCTGGGGGAAACAGGAGGTCTCTCGGCATCATCTCTTACAACTGCATTCAATCACAGTTACCTCAAAGTACAAAGTTCAATAACAACAACAACAACACCACGGGGCTGCCAGAGACCCCGTAAAACAGGATTAACAGCCATTTGACTCCCATGACGTAGTCACTCCCCTTTCTGGAAGCAGAAAGGTCAATCAAGCGACCAGGGGAAGTCCTCATAAGCTGTTCACAGAACTATCATCTCCTCATGCCGCAGACTGACATACTGGGAAATGTCGTCAGTGTTTATCATCACGTGCGATCTACAAAAATGGTGTTTGAAAGTAAGATTGACTAAACCTACTCATAACCGCGACATGACTTTGCAATCGCTGAGTGAAAAGTGATTTATACCTGCTACCATACTACATATTTAAGATAAGGTTTCCCCTTAACATAGTTAAAAATGCATTTGCCTCTTTAAGCTTACCTGCTCTTCTCTGTCTTAATTCTTCTAACATTCAATTTCCAAGTAACAAATGCTTTATTAATTCTGAAAGGAAAGATATTTCTTACATTCTATATTTGTAAGTCATGTATTTATATGGAATACATTTATTTTATTTTTTTTTTAATATGAGATTTAGTGTCAAATTGGTTTCCGCACAACACCCAGCGCTCCTCCCAACAGGTGCCCTCCTTGATACCCATCCCCCCCCCCCCCCCCCCCCCCCCATCAACCCTCAGTCTATTCTCAGTTTGTAAGAGTCTCTCATGGTTTGGAATACATTTAGTAACGTCTTAGAAATCCTAGATGTCCTAGAACAGGTCGCATTCATCAAAAACTTTACTTAAAGCAAATACCAGACCACATCACTTCTCTCCCAAACTATCAACAGAACAGAGAAAAGTAAATGTCATCAAAACTCATTATAATTCTCATAGACACATAATTAGTTTAGTTACTGTTAGGACGTCCCTGGAACCACAGTGGAGGGGACGGCCATCTTGCCAATGCAACCCAATGAAAAGCCCCTAGTAGCTGCCAGAACGAATTGGAGGTCAACCAATCACCGGGCGACAGCACGAACTGGCGCGAAAAAGGCCCACCCGGGAACCGCTGCAGCTTAAAAGCCCCACCCCACCACACCTGGGCGCGACCTAACTCCTCTCTCTCTCTCTCTCCCTGAGTCACGGAACCCCGCCCGAGACCTTAGTTCCCAATAAAGCCTTTGACTGCTAAAACTTTTAGTTCTTGACTCTTACCTTTGCCCTAGCCTACGCCTGACCCCACCAGTTACCACATCCCAATTAATATAAATCTATAAAAATATATTCTTTTCCCTTATACCTTTATTAGCTTACTGGTTTTAAAAGAGATTCTATTTCGAGAAGAATCAAGGTTCAATTTTCAGTGATAAGAAAAGTAACGTTGGTAAGAAATCACTGTATACTGGTAAATAAAAAATTAAGATAGTGTATATCATATTGATATTTAATATTTATGTTTTTGAAAGGATGCATTTGTAATTTTAAAACCTCAAGGAACCCGTCTGAGAAGGATGGTAACGGTGACACTTGGTGACACTTTCAAGGTGACGCTTGTTTGCCAAAGCGAGATTCCTTACGCGGCAGGCAAGAGCCAACTGGGAGAGGACCGCCTGAGCGGCCAATCGGAACCAGCCCATCTTCCTGGCTGATTCTGAACCACAGAAGACTGAAGGAGCCCCAGGGACAAGCAAGCAGTTCAGAAAGTGTCCCATGATGTCACACAAACAGGCACACCCAAGGCCTTAGAAACACCTCAGATCTGGTAACGTGACCTAAATCAGGCTCCCAACAGGCATTTCAGTTGAGTTCCTGTCTCACTTCCAACCGGTCACAGAACCTCAGGACTCCAGAACCGTGGAAACCAGACGAATCACCCCAATGACAGTGTGATGAGTGTCCACACCGGGCCACAGCACAAGTCCTCCGGGACGGCCCACGAGGTAAAAGGCGGGCACTGCAGCTCAAGTCACCCCTGCACGAGACACACATCACCTCCGTAAGCCGCCAAGCCCCTACACTGGACACACCACGTTGCCTCCATAAGCCGCTAACCCCCCCTGCACCGGACACAGCACATCGCCTCTGTGAGCCACTAACTCTTCAGATTCTCCTTTTTCCTGCTTGACATGTTGTTACAATTATATGTCATAAAAAAAAAAACTTTACAAAATGTTAAAAATAAAATTTTTAAATCAAATGAATTTATAGGTTTTAATCTGTGTAAACTTTAGCTTATACTTCGCTTAACATGAATTTTAAAAAAATGAATCATTTTGACCACGGACTTATTGATGCTAAATGTCCTATAAGATGACTCATCCCAGTTCCAACTACGCTTCAAAAGCTTAATCAATTGAAATTACTTAGAATGGAGCGAACCCCAAGGATGTGTTACAAGGCAAGGATGACGGCGGAAAGCCCAACGATGACAGTTTACACTGGCACCTAATTTACAGGGATGCGATGATCATCTATTTTCTTGAAGACGAACTTCTCAGAACTGTCTCTCAGTCACCTACACGGCATGTGACTCAGGTTCGGACAGACAGCCAGAGCCCGCGTCCTTGCCGACCAACCTCTCCGACACTTCGGCGTCAGCGGTACCATCTCTACCTCTGGGTACACACCGACCTTGATCCTGCCTCCCAACTTCTGACCTCGCTATGTGCTCTGTCTAAACTATTCCCTCAAGACCCCCTGTGGACGTGTCCTTCTCATCAATGAGGCCTCCGCTTAAACAGCACCTCTCTGGCCGTCCTACTTAAAGTAGCAACCACACATCTCTGCGTTATTATCTTTCTGGCCCCTATCACCAGCTGAAATAATCTTATTTATTTACTTGTTATCTATCTCCCTCCATGAGAATGAATTTCTACAGGAACACAGACGTTGCACGTTTTTTACACGATGATACCTCCGGTGTCCAGAACGGTGGAGCAAAAGTACACAATACTTGTTTTGTAAGTGAGGAACTTCTCTGCTACAAAATCCACTCACTTCTCTTATAAAAGTAAACTTCCTCAGGTTCTTAGTTATTCCAACTATTTGATATCAAATGTAACCATTTAAGATATGACATCTCTTCTCCTAGTCTCCACCAGGTAGCAGCAGACCACAAGGAAATACATATGTTAGAAACAAAAAAATTATGGTAACAGCACCATTCACGGGTGCGGCGTGGTGCACAGCACAATGTACGGACGCCTGAAACTAATGTGACATCAGGTGTCGACTACACACGAACAAAAGGAAAGAAAAAAACCAGGTACAAACACTAGGAGAACAAATCTGGGACCGCTGTGTGAAGGATCGGACTCGCAGAAACCCTGGTGTCCTTGTCCCGCCGTGTCACTCAGAACTGGATGAGTTATTAAGTGATGACCTCGAACCAAGCTGCCCCAGCCCCCTAATTCTGATCTATTTTCCTCTATAGCATTCCTTCTGCCCCTGGTATTCCACGTATTTATGTTTTTACCTCTTACCCACTACAAGACATTTGAGAGCAAGACAATTGTTTTGTTCAACAGTCTCTCCAGCATCCAGAACAATGCGTGGTTCTTGCAAACTCAATAAATACTCATTTAATGAATCAATGCATGAAAAATACACGGTTTCTGCACGGTCATTATATACATTATACACATTATACACGGTCATTATAGTTAACTTAAATCTGACCATAAAAAAATCTTTTTCTTACAATATTTATCCAAAAAGATGGGCGTTTTCATACCTAAATGGGTAAGCTTCCTTTATCTAAAGAAAACTGTATCGCAGTATAATTGACATACAGTATTATATTAGTTTCAGGTGTGCAACACAGTAATTTGACACTGTAGACCCTGTGAACTGATGCCTACAATAAATGTAGTTATCATCTGTGACCATATGGTTAATACGGCACTCGCGACTGTATTCCATAGGCTGTACATTCCATCACTGTGACTTATTTCATAACGGGAAGTCTGTAACTTCTCTTCACTCGTTTCATCCCCCACCCAGCACCTCTCCCCTCTGGCAAGACACAACTCTGCGCTCTGTATCTATGAGTCTTGGTTTTGTTTCGGTTTTTAGGTTCCACATATACGTGAAATGATGTGGTATAGTTCTTTCTCTGTCTTACTTCCCTTAGCAGAATACTTTAGGGTCCCATCCGTGTTGATGCAAATGGCAAGATTTCATTTTTTTTTTTTTTCTGGCTGAGTACTGTTCTGTTGTATATAGGTACCACCTTTTCTTTATCCATTCATCTCTACCAGTGAGCCCTTTGGTTGTTTCTATGTCTTAGCTACTGCAAATAGAGCCACCAGAAACAAAGGAGTGCGTTATCTTTTCAAAGTAGTCTTTTCATTTTCTTAGGATACCCAGAAGTGGAACTGCTCAATTGTTCGGTAGTCCTAATTTTAATTTTTTCAGGAATCTCCATCCTGTTTTCCATAGTGGCCGCACCAGTTTACATTCCCACAAGCAGTGAGTGAGGGCCCCTTTTCTCCACATCCCCATCAATTCTTGTGATTTCTTTTTTTAATAATAGTCATCCTGACATGTAGCAGGTAATATCCTATTGTGGTTTTGACCTGCATTTCCCTGATTAATGATGTTAAGCATCTTTTCATGTGTCTGTTGGCCACCTGGATGCAGGTCCTGGAAAAATGCCTCTTCATATCCTCTGCCCATTTATGAATTGGATTGTTTTTGTTACCGAGTTGTATGAATTCCTTTTTTGCTTTTTTTGGATATTCACTCCTCGTTATATATGATTTACAAACATCTTATCCCAGTCAGTAGTTGGCCTTTCCATTCTATTGATGGCTTCCTTCACTGCTCACAAGCTTTCCCGTTAGATGCCATCCCATTTGTTTACTTTCCCTTCTGCTGCCTTTGCCTTTAAGTCAGATCTAAGAAAACATCTCCAAGAATGACGTCAAGGAGTTTACCACCTACTTTCTGTTGGGTGTTTCATGCATTCAGTTCTTACTTTCAAGTCTTTAACCCATTTTGAGTTTACTTTTGTGTGTGGTGTAAGCAAGTGGTCCAGTTTTCCCAACACCATTTGTGAAACAGACTTTTTCCCGTGGCATATTCTTGCCTCCTTTGTGGAAGATTAATTGGCCATATAATCGTGGGTTTACTCCTAGGCTCGCTATTCTGTTCCTTTGATCTACATGTTTATTTTTGTGCCAGTACCATACTGTTTGATCACTACAGCTTTGTAGTGGATCTTGAAATCTGAGATTGCAATATCTACAGCTTTGTTCTTCCATACATAGTATAATGTCATGTGTAAATAATAACAGTTTAATTCTTCCTTTCCAATTTGGATGCCTTTTATTTTTTTCTTGCCTAACTTCCGTGGCTGACTTCCAATTCTATGCTAAGAAATGTAGTCACCCTTGTCTTGATCCTGACCTTAGAGTAAAAGCTTTTAGCTTTTCAAAGTTGGAATATTATTTTAGCTGTGGGTTTGTCATATATGGCTTGTACTGTGTTGAGGTACATTCCCTCCATATGCACTTTGTTGAGAGTTCTTATCATAAATGAATGTTGACTTATGTCAAATGCTTTTTCTGCATCTACTGAGATGATACAACTTTTATCTTTCATTTTTTTTTAATGTGGTGTATCACAGTATGTCACATTGTTTTGCAGATGTTGAACCTCTCCATTCCTGAAATCAATGCCACTTGACCATGATGTATGATCCTTCTAACGTATTTTCTAATTTGATTTGTCAATATTTTGTTGAGGATTTTTGCATGTGTGTTCATGAGGGATATTGGCCCGTAATTTTATTTTTGTGGTATCCTCTGGTTTTGATATCAGGATAACTGATGGCCTCATAAAATGACTTTGGAAGCTGTCATTCCTCTTCCATTTTTTTTTTGAAGAGTTTAAGAATAATAGTTATTAAATATTCTTTGAATGTTTAGTACAATTCACCAGTGAATTCTGATCCTGGACTTTGTTGGGAAGTTTTGGATTATTATTTAATCTCCTTACTAGTAATTGGTCTATTTAAATTTTCTACCTTTTCATGATTCAGCCTTGCTAGGTTATATGTTTCTAGGAATTTATCCATTTCTTGTAGGTTGTCCGGTTTGCCTGTGTGTGACTGTTGTCTCTGTTATGATTCTTCATATTTCTATGGTGTCAGTTATAACTTCTTCTGATTTTGAGTTCTCTTTTTCTTCATTAGTCACCAATTTCATCTTTTTGTGGAACGAGCTCTTGGTTTCATTGATCTTTTCTGTTGTCTTTTTAGTCTCTATTTTACTTATTTCCACTCTGATCTTCATTATTTCCTTCCTTATACTAACTTTGGGTTTCATTTGCTCTTCTTTTCCAATTCTTTAGGTTTAAAGTTAGGCTGTTTGGGATTTTTCTTCTTAACGTAGGCCTGTATTGTTATGAACTTCTCTCTCGTAACTGCTTTCGCTGCATCCTGTAGGTTTTTGATATGTCCTATTTATGTTTTCATTTGTCTCTAGGTATTTTTTTTTAATTTCTCCTTTTTTTCCTTCAAAGGTCCCTTCATTTCAGTAGCATGTTGTTTAATCTCCACATTTTTTGTGGTTTTTCCAATTTTCTTCTCGTAGCTGATTTCCAGTTCTACACCATCATGGTTGAAAAGATGTTTGATGATTTCAATCTCGCTAAATTTACTGAGATGTTTTTGTGGCCTAGCATGTTATTTACCCTGAAGAGTGTGCCGTGTGCACTCAAGATGAAACATATTATGCTGCTTTTGAATGTAATGTTCTATATAGATCTCTTAAGTCCATCTGGTCTAATGTGTCATTTGAGGCCAATGTTTCCTTACAGACTTTCTGTATGAATGATGTAATTATTAACAAAAGTGGGATGTTAAAGTCCCCTCCTATTATTGGATCGCTGTCTCTTTCTCCCTTTATGTCTGTTGATATTTCCTTTAAACATTTTGGTGGGTTCATTAAACATTATGTTGAGTTCATATACATTTATAAATATTATATCCTCTTGCTGGACTGACCCCTTTATCATTATCTATTTAATGCCCTACTTTATTTTCTATAAGTCTTTAAGTCTATTTTGTGTGAATATAAGCTACCATAGCCTTCTTTTCATTTCCATTTGCATAAAATATATTTTTTCATACCTTCACTTTCCGTCTGTGTGCCGTTACTTTTGAAGTGAGTCTCTTCTCAGCAGCATATGGAGGAGACTTTTTTTTTTTTAGAAGCCCATTCAGTCACTCTACATCCTTTGGAGAATTTAGTTCATTTACATTTAATTTTAATAGGTATGTACTTACTGCCCTTTGTTATTGTTTTCTAGCTGTTTTTATAGTTTCTGTTCTTTTATTCTTCCCTTCTCTCTTCCCCTGATGTCTGACAACTTTCTTTAGTGTTGAGATTCCTTTCTCATTTTGTGTATTCATTGAAAGTTTTTGTGGTTATCATGAGGTTCAGCTACAACATCGTACGTATATGATGATGTGTTTTAAGTTCACAGCAACTTAAATGTGAATACATTCCAAAATTCTACATTTTCATCCCCCTCTGTTAATGTTTTAGGTTTTTTGTCACATTTTACAACTTTTTATGTATTACTTAACTAATTATTGTAGTTTTAGTTAATTTGACTATGTTGGTCTTTTGAATTTCACATTAGTTTTATAAATGATTTACTACCTTCACTATATACTTGCCTTTTTCCACTGAGATTTTCACTTTCATATGTTTTCTTGTCATTAATTAGTGCCATTTCTTCTTAGCTTAAAGAAGGCCCTTTAGAACTTCTTGCAAGGCTGGTTGGGTGGTAATGATGTCCTTTAGCTTTTGTTATATGAAAATTCTCTCTCTCCTTCAATTCTGAGTGGCCGGGTACAGTATTATCGGTTGCAATTTTTTTGTACTTTGAATATGTCCTGCCGCTCCCTTCTGCCTTGCAAAGTTTCTGCTAAGAAACCTGCTGATAGCCTCCTGGGGTTACCTTGTGTGTAAACAAGTTGTTTCTCTCTTGCTGCTTTTAAGATTCTCTACCTTTAACTTTTGACGTTTTAATTATATCTTGGGGTGAAACCCTTTGGATTCTTATTTGGCACTCTCTGGGATTCCTGGGTGTGGAGGTCTGTTTCCTCTGCCAGATTAAGGAAATTTTCAGCCATTATTTCTTCAGGTAAGTTTTTCTGCCCCCTTTTCTCTCCTTCTGCGGCTCCTATAACGTGAATGTTACTTTGCTTGAAATTGTCCCACGGGTCACCTAAGTTGTCTTCATTTTTTAAACAATCTCTCTCATTTTTGCTGCTCTGTCTGGGTGAGTCCCATTGCTCTGTCCTCTGGTTCACTCTCTGACCTCTTCTGATTCGCCCAGTCTGCTGGTGAACCCCTTTAGTGTATACTTCAGTTATTTGTTCTGCTTCAGCTCTCCGACTTCCATTTGGTAGTCTCTTATGTTCTCCATCTCTCTGTTGCAGTTCTCACTGTGCTCATCCATTCTTCTCCCAAGCTCGGGAGGCATCTTTATGACCACTGCTTTGAACTCTCCGTCAGGTAATTTACTGACGTTGCCATTTCATTAAGGTCTTTTTCTGAGGTTTTGTCTTGTTCTTTCATTTGGAAGAGAATTCCTCTGTCTCATCTTGCCTGATTTTCTGTGTTTTTTTTTTTTTTTCTATATATGAGGCAAAACAGCTACCTCTCCCAGTCTTGAAGAAGTGGCCTTGTGTAGATGACCCCTGAGGCCGAGAAGCACAATCCCATCTGGCCACCAGTGCCAGGTACTCCAGGGTGGTCCCGAGTGTGGGCTACTCGCACCTGCTGGCTGTGGGGAGGCCGGGGCTGTGGCACCGAGAGGCATGGCACTCATCTGGCAAGGTGGCTGCAGTTTTGGCCAGGGGAGGACGGGATGCCTGCCCAGCTGGCTGTGGTGCGGCTGTGGCATGGAGTGATGGGGCATGCCCAGGTTACAGGAAGATTGCCAAAATGGCTAACGCCAACACTGGCATTAGCAAAGTACAACAGGATTGCAAAATGACACCTGTCCCAGGAAGATCCTGCTTCTCTGCAATTCACTTCAGGAATAAGGGGGTCAGTCTCCTTTCGGTATGGCCTAGATGCTTCTCAAAGTGCAGCTTTTGTTCTGGGTCCCAGGGTGAGTTGAGTGTGCGTGCAAACCCTTTACGGGCAGGTTCTCTGTTCCCCAGTTTTATGGTTTTCCTGGACACAATCCCCATTGTTTTACATTTTGGCAGCTCATCTCTCCGGTGCAGAACCCAACAACTGAGGTGCCCGATGTGTGAAACATCCCCTACTCCTCAGGGAGAGTCCCCACATTTTTGAGATCTCTCCTGATCGTGGCTGCCGCACTGGGGATAGGCTGTTTGGTGAGAGCATGTCTCTGTCTCTTCTACCCGTCTCCATGCGGCCTCTGTCCTCTGTTTCCAGGACTTTTCCAGAGGAAATTATTCCACATGTAGGTGTGTTGTGTCTGTGGGAGGTAGGAAGTTCAGGATCTTCCTGCACCTGCATCTAGCCTAAAACACCCCTATGGAGTACCCCGTTTCCTCTGTAACTCCCCACAAAGATGGCACCGGGCGGCAGAACCCACATGTCAGCCGAGCGGTTTCTGTTTCAACAGGACCGTACTGCAAATAATTGGCTGCGTTTTCTTTCATCTCACCGAAACTTGGAAAATATCCTGAACTGCTGCAATAAATGGTAACACGTTCTTTCTAAAAGCCATTCCACAGTCGGTACAGATTCTACTTCTTCTACGCCACCTACGTTAGTAACCTGTAAACACAGAGCACAAAAGCATGACTTTATTTTCTTAAAACAAATATGCACAATTTTCAAGGACTTAGGCAACCCTGGGTTTGCCTCATAACTACTTGCCTTGATAATGAGGCCTGTTCTGTATACGACCTCCACCACTTCGTCTCTACCCAAACTTGGTTTCCCGTCCCACACGGCTTCCATTCTTGCCATTTTTCTAATGCTATTTCTTGTGCTCCGACAGAGAAAGAATACGAGAAACTTCCTCACCTTGACATACTTTTCACAGATGCCTGTTCTTTTCAGTCTCAAAATTCTCACATTTTCTATACAGGTAGTATTTATGAGCTCAATTTTAACTACAGGGGTAGAGTGGTTCCAGAGGGGCTAATAATCCCATTGCCAAGATACCCCATTTTGACATTCAAGAACCACAGGACTTTCTTTCCTCAAGGAATTCTCTTCCAAAGAACCCCTCTCCCCCATGTGAATGGTAGCCTTTTCTTAAATGTCTTCTAGGAATAAAAGTATGCCTATATCACCACATACGTATTTACGTGCATACTTTTGTTTATATAGAAGTCGTTCTTTCCATTTTCAGTTGATAATACACACGGGGCATCCCCACACGTGCACCTACAGATTTGTTTCCTTTGGATGTGGCCCCGCCCACACGTGCTTACAGTGTAGCCGGGAGGCTGGCGCCACAGACACTAAACAAACGGCCCAAACAAGTAACAAGTTGTACGATCACAACTTGTGATCAGTATCAAAGCCCTATTTGAGTGTATTGGGGGAGTGAGGTTTCTACCTCTGGCAATGACCAACCTGAGAAAACAGTTTTTTCTTTTATTATTATAATTCCTATGATGTCAGCAAATCCCTGTAGTCTAGTTTTCTTTAAACACACACACACACACACACACACACACACACACACACACACACACACACACTTAAGGTATTTGAGATAAAATTGAATCCCCAAACCTAAATCTCTAGAAAAAAGAAAAGGAACCTCGCCATTAAAAAGCTTTCTCCCAAAGAGGATCTGAAACATAAGCTACTTCTCAAATGGCCAGGTTTGTCTGAAACACACAAAGATATTCTAAATTGAATAATATTTTTCCATTATGACTCTCCAAGCTGAGCACGCCCGCCCTCTGTTACCTTGGAGACAGATGATGCTGTAATAATCCAGAATTCTTTGCCATGTCTAGCTCTGTGAGCAGAGACCACCTGGAGGTCATACGGATTATAGACACCTTTACTATTTTTCCGAGAAAGGCAATATACAAATTCTCCATCATCTTTTAAAGGTTCCTGAGGTTAAAAAAATTTTAATTAACTTGATCAAATTAAGTAGTAAAATGGCTGAACAGGTTACTCGATAAACTGAAACGATTTTAGATGAAAATTAAGAATAATATCCCTGAGGAAAGTTAACATCAAATTGTGTCCAACCGAAGTTCAACAAGATCAATCTTATGAAAGATTTAAAATATATAATTTTCATTCTTACAGCGTGGTGAAAAAACATTCACGAAAACTGATCTATGTGCTCACTCATGCGTGCTTATTCACACAAAGAACTTGGCAACATACATTTTACAACACGCTCCACCTTCAGTCAATCTTCCGACACCGGAAGCCTTTTGAGCACATTAATCATTTATTTTGTTAATGACGGTGGCTTAGTATTAGAGTAACAGTAGCTAATATTTGTTAGGTAAATAATTTGTTAGGTAAATAATAAATATTTAATAAGTGATAACGTTCATATATGTTATATTAACAACCACGAGAATTTAATTGCTTGAATTTTTTAAATTAACCACGGACGATGATCGTTAAATAGATGCAGAAATTACTAGTTTGAGAAATTAGGTCATTTGAGAAGAGTCACAAAGACAGGCAGGGGCAGGCTAAGATGTGAGCATGTGTCTGACCAAACCCACACTCCGACACACTGCAATTTACCCTAACGCCTGCTTCTTTTTTACCTGGCATTATTGAGAAATCAGCCATTCCACATTAAGAAAAAATTCTAAGTGAAATTTCTTTCTTCTAGCTTTGAACATTTTTAACTTTCACTATGAACCCTCTACAAGAAAGTTCAAGTTAGTCATTCCTGGATAATTAAAATTTATTATTAAAAAAATTATAATTCAGTGATGCCTTCAGAAGCTATTGAACTGAGTAAACAGTTTCTAATTACTGGAATTTAAAATTCTGGATCCAGTTTTACTTCTTAAAAAACCATCTTCCCTTAAGACCCTTCGTGTTCCTTCTCAATGTCTCAACCGTTCCCTTTTCTTGTTCTGACCGGACACAATGCATCCCTGGAAACCTTAAGAAACAAGTCTACAAACCGCGAGTCAACGTTAATAACTCAGCTCTGGGTGGCGACGTGCACGGTGGCGGCTGTGTTCCAGTCACTGGGCCACTCGAGGCATTTCTGTTCTAATTATCGTTCAGAAAGTTAAGGATGTTAGAACCTTAACGCAGACACGACTCTCCCAATGGGTCGTGTATGTAATTAAATCATCCACGTACAAGAAGCACAGTATGTTCCAATTAAATATTGTCTTTCGATTAAAAACAAGTATTTGTTTCACATTCTCAACCCTCTCTTCACATACACGCGAAACACACCTTGTCAGTGAGTCCAGGGGCATCCAGCTCACGGACAGCTTTGTGAAACCACGGCGCCCACCATCTGCCAGGCACACGCCACGCGCATTGCCTCATTTCCTGGCCACAGCTCCCTAACGTTAAGTACTATTATTTCCGCTTCGACATCAAAGAAGCTCACGCTCAGAGAGGCCAGGAACTTGCCCAAAATAACGCCGGGAGCGTACAGATAGAGCCTCACACCCGGGAGACTCCGATTCCATCATGCGTGGTGCTTGCCTTTACGTTAACGCTGCCTCCGACAACGATCAAAAGAGCACTCGTCCTCCTGGTGACAGCCTAGAGCAGGGCCAGCAAACCACGGCCAGGCCCACGCGCCTGTTTCAGTAAATGAAGACCCCCTGGAACACAGCCACACCCACTTGTTGCTCCCGCACCACGATGACAGACCTGAGTGGTTACGACAGAGGTCAGGGGGCCCGCACAGCCTAAAATATTTACCATGTGGCGTTTTTCAGAAAAAGGGAAGTCGGCCCCTGGTCTAGAAACACCGTTCTCAATTGTGCATCAGAATCGCCTGGGGCAGCTTCATAAAACGCGGATCGCTGGGCTCCACCCCCAGAGTCTCTGACTCACAAGTGGGGGCTAGAGAGGGGACTGTGGATTGCTAAAAAGCTCCAGGGGACACTGATGCTGCTGGCCTGGGGCCTGCCATTTGAGCGCCCTGGGTCTCCGGGGTAGGACGAGAGGGTCCTGCCCAGTCTTTCATCTTCTGTAATGAAGGAGGTCACAGGAGGCAGAGTTACCAGTGCTTGTCGCTGCCTGGACTCCCCGGTCACGTGACCCCGGACATGCTAGAACTTCCCCGAACAGGAAGGGATAAGGACATACACAGATAATGAGACAGAAAATGGGGCACGAGCAGTAAGGGTGCAGATACATGCTACAAACGCACGTTAGGATTTCTTCTTAAATCGCAAAATAACTGATAAACAGGAACATAAGAATAGATTCAAATTTCGGACACATGTCGTATCTGTTTCTCCGTTCTTGGAATAAGTGAAATGAAATGATGCCCCACACTTTCAGTTTTTGATTGTTTTGGTTTTTTTTTGTTTTTTTTTTTTTTACATCCAACACTTTTATAAGCATGTACTATGAAATCATGATTGTTAATTTGATGTTAATGGGATATTTAATTTTGATGTAATATGTGCAGTGAATGAAATAAAGATTAAGATACACTTTCAAATAACAACTTTTATAGCACAAAACTGAATAAAACAGAGTAATACCTTTAGAATAATCTTCTGAACTGCAAGTTTGGAACTTTTGTACTCCAAACAGCGCTGCGGTAACATTGTTTGCCAGCCAAACTTTTCTCGTAGCCTTATAATATGTCTTGTCACATCATCATCCTCCGGTTCTGGTTTACAACATTAAAAAAAAAAAGATCTAATAAAGTGTGAATATGGGCATCACTTAAGGATAATGTATACTACTCCAAATATTTCTAAACGGAGAAAACATTTTAATGGGAACTTAAAAGTTTACACAAAGGCTCTATAATTGGAAGAGAAAAAATAGCTTAACATTTACTTTTAACATAAGCTGGAAAGAAGGAATAACATTTTTCCCCCTAAGAAAGGTATCGCAGAAGCCCTAATTCTGCAATCACACGGTTGGTGGCGCGAGAAGACACCGAACAGGCGCCGGTTAGAAGGTTTTCTTAACAGAAGCCCATGCTGGGCTGGGAAAGAAGTGATGACCACCCACGGTGGGAATATGCTTCCTAAAGATACTCATATTCCACAGACACCTTTGAGACCTTTTTTTTCTTGATCTCTTAGCGGCTAAAGATTCTCTCCTTCTGGAAACGTTCCTGTTGCTTGGTTTGTATCTGCCATGCCTACAGGTTGTCCCTCTTAGCCCTTAAGCTTTTCTTGATACATCACGGGAAGGGAAGCAATCCCAACACCATGCTGGCAAAACCGGCAATGCTATGAAGTTGTTCAAGATTTCTGGTCCTCTTGCGGCCCCTGGGTGGCTCAGTTGGGTAAGCGTCCGACTTCAGCTCAGGTCATGATCTCGTGGTTTGTGAGTTCAAGCCCCACGTCGGGCTCTGTGCTGACAGCTCAGAGCCTGGAGCTGCTTCAGATTCTGTGTCTCCCTCTCTATGTCCTTCACCTGCTCTTGCTCTGTCTCTCTCTCTCAAAAGTAAAGAAATAAACATTAAAAAAAAATTTTTTTTAAAGATTTCTGGTCCTCTAGGGATGCCTGGGTGGCTCAGTTGGTTAAGCAGCCAACTTCGACTCGGGTCATGATCTCACACTTCATGGGCTCGAGCCCCACATCAGGCTCTGTGCTGACAGCTCAGAGCCTGGAGCCTGCTTTGGATTCTGTGTCTCCCTCTCTCTCTCTCTGTCCTTCCCCAGCTTGTGCTCTCTCTCTCTCAAAACATTTAAACATTTAAAAAAATATTAAAAAAAAGATTTCTGGTCATGTAGAAACAACAAACACCAGCTGATCGAAACAGGGTCTATGCTAGGGATTAAGGGAGACTTGAACTGTTATGTAAAACAGCATCAGGACAGAATGAGGGTAAGGTACTGCAAAACCCCAAGAGTCGGTTCCTCTTTAAACCTTGTGCCCTTGGCCTCAGCCTCATCCAGGCCCTATCTGTTGCTGAGACACAGAAAGAAACTTAAAATTCTTAACTGACAAGACAGCTAGTTAATATTAGTACAAACAGAGACCCGCACAAGGGACCAAGACGTAAGGAATACAGACGAGGGTACAGAAACACCTACCTACCAAAATCAAAGGATATGGTTGTGACCTAGGAAAATAGATCAGAGAACCCATTAGAGTCCAGAGATAGGACCGTTTACAAAAGACAATCTAGTAAGTGAAAAAGATATTTCAAATCAATAGAGGAATCATTACCTGTTCACAAATCACAATGGCAAAGTGGTTAGCCACTTGGAAAACTATGCAGTTATATGCAAGTGTAAATTACACATGGATTACAGAAGTATATGTGGAAAAGAAAATGATAGAAGTATTAGAAGAAAATATAGAATATGTTCCTGAAAAAGAATGTTAAAAAAAAATAATAAATTGGACTTCTTCAAATTTAGCAACTTATGTGCAAAAAAGCCACCATCAATAAAGTTAAAGCATAATTAACAGGTGAGAAGAAAATGTTTATAACCCATGTAAGAAGCTAAGGATTAACGTATAAAATATTTTAAAGCGTATTTTAAATAATACGTTTAATTAACGTATAAAATATTTCAGTAAAAAATAAACATTCTGATACAAAGGTGAACAATTTATAGGAAAAAACAGCCAGTAAACATACTAAAAAATGTTTAACCCAGTTAGTATTCAGGAAATCACAATTTAAAATCATAATGAAAAATCATTCTCACCCATCAGACGTGCAAAATATTAAATAAGAAAATATCAACTGCTGACCAGTGTATTCCTTTTTTTTTTTTTTTCCCAGTGTATTCCTTTCACGCAATATTGTAAAAGCACCCGTCCGTTCTTGGTGGCTACCTGGCAGATTGAATGAACTGATGGAGGCCGTTGGGGAATGGAAGCGATTTAGGGCAAATTTAAAAAAAATGACTTTTCACAATCAATAGTAAATTTAAGGAAAACATACAGCCTCCAAAAAGCCGGGGAGAAATTTCTGTCGAAAGCCAGATTAATTCAGAAAATCACAGATATTTACTAAAACCGGACAGTAGTTACACACCTTAACACTGGAGTGTGAGGCCCCGCCCTAGCATGCTGGGTGCACGGTACAATCCCAGAGAGCAATTCTTTACATCAGAAATAGAAGATTAGCCTGCATCCCACTTTCGCAGTGAGTCACGAATCTGGGGACCAGGGGCGCCTGGGTGGCTCAGTCGGTTGAGCGACGGACTCTTGACTTCAGCTCAGGTCATGATCTCACAGTTCGTGAGATTGAGCCTCACGTTGGGCTCTGCCCTATCAGCACGGAGCCTACTTGGGATTCCGTCTCTCCCCCTCTCTTTCTGCCCCTTCCCTGCTCGCGCACGTGCGTGCCTTCTCTCCATTTCTCTCAAAACAAATAATCAC